AAAGAACATTTTGAAGTGGAAATATCGCAGAGGGAAATCAAACAATTTGCTGGTTCACTCTGGGGAAAGTATGTTTTAGGAAGAGTTTGGGAGCAAACGATCTCCTTGCTCGACTGCTGGAAGTTCTAGCTAGAGACTGAGGTGACCAGTGGCACCCCGGTTTCAGCACGATCCTGCCTTACGTGGAAATGCTATCTTTGAACTCTGAGCTTGAAGAGGCATGGTGAGGGCGTATGGGGACGCTGGCTAAGTCTGTCACATTAACAGAACTGCAGATGCCACATCCAGATTGTCTTCAGATTCCTTGCCATCCTGGAAAAAACTCTGCAGGGAGGCCTGCAACCGCTTACTTACTTGAATGAAGCCTTTCAATTCTGCATATTATCAGTCACTGAATGCATGCCAGCAACTAAAGTATAATTTATAGTTTACATTTTAATGATCTTACAGATGGTTGATTTTACTCAACCAGGAGGAGTTGCGTGTGACGGTCCCAGCTTTGATGTGGTTTGGACCTTAGAGCTGGTCCGAGGGCTGTCAGTTGTTGTCTCTTGGATCTTCAGAGACCAAAGTTACTAAATACCTTTCAAGCAACTAATGGACTTTTCACTCATTAGAATTTAATATAATCACATAGATAATGGAAACGATGACTTTAAATAGATGCAAATTGAGCAAGCGGAAACGGAAATTAAATTTTCTGGACATGATATTCGTCAGCCAAGTTTCCCAACAAATGTATTAGCAACATTTTTATAGACATTCAAATAAAGAACAAGGTTTAATTTAAATGCATTTATTTTGGTCACCAAGTAACCCATGACTGGAAAAGTGGTTATGCCACATGGAAATGTGTGTTTAAAGTAGCACTGTGGATTTCACTTATATCTTTGGAATTGGAACTTATTTTTGAGAGTTTTAAAGAACATAATCTTTGACTTATAGAGGAGTACTTACAGCAAATTGAAGAGTCCAAATCTCTGAGATAAAAAACTCAATAAAATAATAGTTATTTTATCTGTCTCTAATTGTAAGTGGGTATAGGCTTTGTCACAGCTGCGAGGCTTTCCATTTTAGATTTGAGTTTCTCTAAGGAGTGAGTTATTCGTGTGCAAATAAATAACTGCTAAACATATGCAAGTACAGGGTAGAACTTGTCCCCTTTGTTTAGATTATTTGAAAACTTTGCATTTATAAATTATAGATGTGCATGTAGTATTCTGTCTTCGAAAACATCTTGAATCAGATATTTTGAGTTAGGTAGGACATATGTGAACTCTGATTTTGCCAAGGATCCTCTGGCTACTCCAGAGGCATCTTTTTTTTTTAAATAACCCTGCCTTTAGGAGAGAAAACAGTAATTTCTTAATGAATTAGCTCAAAGCATAAGAATGAATTAGCAGTTAAATTTGTTTGCTTCAGATGGGCAAATCCAAAGCACTGTACTTTAGACTCTCTAACATACTTTACTAATATTTAAAAATTAGTTTCTTAAAGTATATTGATTTTAAGGTGATTGTACTATGTTTATGAAACTGCCCAGTAAAAATGTTATTTCCTAAAACAGTACTTGAGTCCATCACTGTGCCCCAGATCTTGTAATTGTGACACTCATTTATTTCCTAGAAAAACTCTACTTACATTCAGTAGAACTGGTTTGAATCTTGAGCAAATTATATAATTTATTATTAACTTATTCATTTCATCAGAAGATGGAGATGGTATTAATCCCCACAGTTATGATGTCAAATGAGATAATATAAGTGAAAGCACCTTTGCTGTGATATATAAGTGAGTCTGTGCCCAGTTTAATTGCAATTTTATTCAGTTAAGACCACTGTTATATAGTACTGTCTGTAAATACTAGCCATAAATGAGAATCATGTAGAAGAATGTTTCAAATTTTTTTAAATGAGTGCCTAAGGGAAAAGGAGTTTCTACTAAGGTGGAAATTTTCCTCATCTAAAGTACCGATGCACAATGCACAGATATTGTATGTATTATGTAACAGAGATGACTAATAATAAATAGCCAACACTAAAGTCATGTTGTGTGCCCAGTGTAGCCCCCAGCACATTCCAGTACTCACCTATCTACTCCTCCTGTTACAGGCCAACCCAATTGGGTAGCCTGACTGTGCGTCCTCACCTGTGCACTTACGAGTCAACTGCAGACACACACACAAAGATCAATAATCGGTTTATTTACAAAGGAAATGAATAACTCAGGGAAAGAGAAATAAGTTAATTAATGTACCCTACCAGTTCCGCTGACCTGGAATTATTACGTTGAAAGCCAATGGAAAGCCAAGAGATAAGCTGCAAGGCACAAGGCCAAGAGACCCCCCAAGACCACATGTTTGGTTTTATAGCCAAATTGGGTGGCTTAACTCCACCCTCTGGTCCCAGCGTGCTTCTCTTTGGTATTGGTGGGCTTTGTAGTTCAGTGCCTGGGAGGGGGGTGGAGTCCACGAAACCTCTATCTGTAGAGTTCGTTCAGACAGCCTTCCCCCTTACACTCCCACAGACCCAGGAGTCAGTGCTGTTATTATCAGCAGCATTAAGGTGGTGAAACTGAGACACAGAGAATCAGTGTACTCAAGAATACACAGTCAGTCAGATTGAACTTCCTTGTACTGTGATGCCCTTGAGGAAGAACTTGGTAGGAAAAAAATGTATCTAGGTAAAGGAAGTCATGAACATTACTTGATTCTTGACTCACTTAGGGAAAATGATGCTACCTGTATACATATTCCAGTGACACATATATGGACTATATCTTATTTTCCTTTCCTAACTGCCTATCACTGTATAAATATTGTTTATTTTCTAGTCACGTAGATAAGTTTATCTACGTGATAAACTTATCACGTAGGCCCAGTCACTTCAAGTCTGGTCAGTGAGTGAAATAATTGGAAGAGACCCAAAACCCCTCTAAAGATATTCCAGAGCTCAGGCATTCTTTATATTTATGTTGGACTTAGACATTTATAAAAATATTTTCATTGAGTATTATATAATGAGTAAATATTGTACTGGCATACATTGTTGTTTCCATAATAGAAGTGTAGGTTTTTTTTTTTTTTGAAAACTTAGTTTCATTTACCATAATTAGTCATTCTTTAATTTGGGCATGTTCCCATTTGTTTATAAATGTCCAATTGTATTAAAACTGCCAGAGACATCGTGAAGTCCTGAGGAAATTGATGATGGAGAACGTGGTCAGGCATAACTTCTGCTTGTTGATTGAGCTCAGAGTGGGAGAAGACACACAATAAGCAGTAAGCGCACAGATCAAAGTCCCACAATTAGTGCCACAAAAGAAGAGGAACACTGCACCAAAGACAGATGAGCGGAGACCTTGCTGGACACTTGAGGATGTTTGACTTTGGTTTCCCTTGTGTGTCTTCAACCTGGTACAAGCTGTTGGAGACTTTGGGAGGAAGAACAGAGGGAAGTCAAGCTAGACAACATGAGTGGGATGCAGACTGGGCAAGGCAGCCACGAGGTGGCCGCAGGGAAGAGAAAAAGGAGAAGCCCGACTGGGGTAGCGTGATCTAGCTGTTGCACCCTTGATTGCCTCACTGAAGAACAAGTGGTATTTATCATAACTGTCATTTCAAGAAAAGTCATTTTGTATTTGCTTTAATCAACTCAGTCAAAGAGGTGGGCCACCATACATTTAAAGTAATTTCTACTACCTGGGTTAAAGGATTTTGTTGTTTGAAAATGTATGTGTCCTTTTCATAGCAGTGTTTTTAATTTTAATTGAGCATATTAGATGAATGAGATTGCTGTTTTAATTTAAACAAATGTTTAAAAGCAACATGAATATTACATGTAAAAGCACTGCTAGATAAGAAAATGCTAGATCTTACTTTCTGGTTCCAGTTGTTGGACAACCCTGGATAAGGGATCATGAGCCTTGTCTTCCTACCTCTTTTATTACTTGTCCTAACTACCTGTTTTACTTTGGCTCTAAAACTGAAGTGTAAGAACTATTTGAAGACTGCCTTTCCCCCTCATTTCTATATACCTTTTAGACTAGTGTCTGACATAAAACACACTCAGTACTACTTCTGAATACATAAGTGAGATGATTAAACAAATATATAGTTACCACTATAAAAAACTGGATAATGAAAGCACTTTTAGAACTATCAATATTCCACACACACTAGGTGATGCTTTTTATTTGAATTTTAGGAAAAGTACCATCCGTCCTAACACCACTTTTTTTTAAAGATTGATTTATTTATGCATACAAGAACTAGGTACAGGCCAGAGGGGTGGAGGTGAGAGAATTCATTAGAGACAGAGTGGGGAGCAGAAAAAGCAGTTAGACTGAAATACACTGCAGAGGGGAGCAGCAGGGTGACAGGCAAGGCCATGCCATGCAGGCCACCTCCCTGACTGGTGATTCAACTTCTTCTGAAGCATCTACGGATAGCTTCATAGAGCTGTTCTTCCACCGCATGCAACACCAGAGAGAGCCCCACAATACCACTTTTAGAAAAATTTGTATCGGTAGCTTTCAATGTAAATGTTTCCTAAGCGTTTTCTTTCTTTATATCCAAAGTTTTTAACACTGAGTTCTCACTTCATTATTTTCATGACCCCTTCATCCCAGTTACTCTCCTCAGTTACTCCTATCTTTGTGAAATATATCATTACATCCAGGGGCCCCTGGTACTCCCTAAAACGGAGTGTCATGTTTGCATATTCCCGCATCTTTCTGGAGAGGTTCCCTCACTTTCATCAGATTCCCACAATATGATCCCCCCCCCAACCCCAATCATTGCTTTTAAATTGTGTATTTTCTTTAACATTTTTGTTGCTCTACTGTTTTTCTTTGAACTGGTTTCATTTCCCCTTACTTTTCATGGTTATATTTGGTTTTGTAAAATGTTTACTGGTTGTCCCCAGAATGTGGTATTCATGGTTTATTATACTCCTCTGATCTCAGCCCATCTCTTTGTCTCTCTCGTGTCTGGCCAACAGTGTGGGGATGTACCAACTGCAGACTTGTGCTCTCCAGCCCTTCGGGGACCTTCACTTCTCCGTGCTACCCTAATGACTACCCTAACTCCCAGGCCTGTGTGTGGACATTGAGAGCCCCCGCTGGCTATATCATTCAGATAACATTTAACGACTTTGACATAGAAGAAGCTCCCAATTGCATCTATGACTCATTATCCCTTGATAATGGAGAGAGCCAGACTAAATTTTGTGGTGCAACTGCCAAAGGCCTATCGTTTAACTCAAGTGCGAATGAGATGCATGTGTCCTTTTCAAGTGATTTTAGCATCCAGAAGAAAGGTTTCAATGCCAGCTACATCAGAGGTATGTAAACTGAAGGCAGTGCCAACCTTCTGCTTTCACTTAACATGTTCTACAATAAACACAAAGACCAGAAGACAGACTTATGCTCTTTTATGTGAATGTGAGTGATTAGGATTAGAATTAAAGAGCAGGAATCTGTTAATATCCTCTGAGTATTCTCGTTAGTGGTATATAGTTACCAGATCCAAAATCTGGTTACAGTAGAGCTGAATTCCTTCATATTGTTTATAAATAGGACATTAAAAGGCTGTTGGGAAGACATTGCAGCTATTCTGCTGCTAATAATTAAAATCTGCAATTCTAGCATCTCTTCACTGAACATTTAAAATACTCCCTATTTGGAAATCATTTTGTTTTAGGTTTTGAAAATGTTGTCCTTTTAAGGACCTGTGCTAGGGGACAAATAGAGAAAGTTAGCATATAAATTAAAATAAAAAGAGTTGTTTATAACTGAAGCTAATTAACAACATAGACTGGAAAGGTTCCTTAAAAATGGCAATTGAAGGAAATAAAATATACTTTTATTAAATATATTTCCCAAAATATGGCATATCATAATTTAAATAATCTCATCTCTAAAACTTGACTCAGCTTAAGGAAAACTCAAGATAATGACAAATAGTCATGGCCACTTTTTTATTCTCCTTAATTCCTTAAGTAGATACTGTGTTTAAACCAAGAAACAAAAAAGAAAGTTACCAGTATAAAATGATTGACCCAAGTTACTATAAATTGTGTTTGCATCAGTTATTTAGTTTGTGACTGACCCTTGGTATATGTGTGTGTAATTGACATTTGCTATATGTGTGTGTAATTTGGTATATGTATGAATAATTGAGACACACATGCTTTAATTTGTGAAATATAATGTTTTAAGAATTAGTAAAATATTCTATGCCATTCGAAAATAAAAAAGAAGCTAGCTGTTCAACCAAGCTTAATCATAACAATAAAAATTGATTTTAGATTTGTGTGTGTATATATATCCTTATAATCTTTTAATTTTAGTAATACATATAGGATATTTATTTCATATTATATAAATATTCCTTTGGGTAGATACATTTAAACTACTTTATATTAAAAGAAGACTAAAATTCATGATTCTGTTAAATTCTGTAAGCGATTTTTAACTAGATTTTTATATTAAAATGATTTTTTTTATCAGTTCTATCTTGGTGTATATTAAAATACATTCAAATTAACATTCATATGAAGCCAGTATTAAACAATATTTTTAAGGAAAGCACTTTTTTTAAATAAGATCATGATGTTTCACAGTGTCTATTGTATTAGCATAGGGCTAAATCCATTGTATTATTTAGTAATTTCACATGTCACAAAAGGAGTAGGCTAATTATGTAATAATTTGAATTTGTTATACATACAATACTAGTGATATATATTATTATTCAATAGTAGCTATATGTTGACTATAACTAAGTCCTGCCCTATAGCTTTGTAGGTTTTAGCTAATTTAATTATTATTGAACACCTGTACAGTAAATGATAATGTCTTTTCTTTTACAGACAAGGAGCTAAGGTAGAAAAGGTGGATATCAAGCCCTCTTCTGTCTGGAAGAGCTAAGATAGGAGGTTTCATCCTTTTTCCTCAAGCTCCTTACTGCCCATGGAAATCTAGTTCAAATTCCCAGATATAAAGACAATGTAGTTTAAAATTCCATTTCCTTTATGGACTCCCTCTCGCCCATGGAATTGTGTTACTTTATTCCTAAGATAGACTGGCATTTGAGAAAGTAGTAAGATTTGGGAAGAAAGAAAGACAATTGTTAAGGAAAACAGAAATTCTAGCTATCAAGCTGGAATTTACTTGAAAAATAATAGTTTTGGAAATCTTAATATGTAAACAGAACTTTCCTGAAAGTGATTGTATGTGTGTGTTACGATTCAGGGATTTTAGAAAAGAAAAAACTGCTACCAATTGGACTGTCTATAATTGAAAGGTTTGATGTGAGATCCAGCCATGGTTAGAGTCCAAACGGATGGTTTCATTGTTTTTTTTAGTTGTGACAGAGATGAATGGGCAGAGATGAATGGGAGAGATGGGGAAAGGGTGGGTAAAAGGGAGTAAAGTCGGTGGAAGGTTGTGCACAATTAGACATTTTGCATTCTGTTGCCCTGTCTATAAGGCTAATGTTGTTTTCCTGTTAACTGTGTTTTGTCCTAGTTGCTGTGTCTTTAAGGAATCAAAAGGTCATTTTACCCCAGACACTAGATGCTTACCAGGTATCTGTTGCAAAAAGTGTCTCTATTCCAGAGCTCAGCGCTTTCACACTTTGCTTTGAAGCCACTAAAGTTGGCAAGGAAGACAATGACTGGACAGCTTTCTCCTACTCAGATGCATCCTTAACACAAATGCTCAGTTTTGGCAAGTCCAGAAGTGCTTACTTTTTATCTGTTTCTGGTTCAAAATGCTTACTGAACAGTGTGCTACCTGTAAAGGATAAAGAAGACATTTTCACTGACAGCTTTGAACAGCTCTGCATCGTTTGGAATAATTCTTTGGGTTCTATTGGTGTTCATTTTAAAAGAAGCTATGAAACCATCTCATGTGACTCTACCATTAACCAAGTCATCCCTGGGAATGGGAAGCTGTCCTTAGGCTCGGATCAGAGTGAAGCCTCTTCTCTCAAAGGGGACATGTACAACTTCCGGCTGTGGAATTTTACCATGAATTCTAAAATGCTTTCCAACCTCAGCTGCAATGAGAAGGGGAATGTAATTGACTGGCAAAATGATTTTTGGAATATCCCAACCCTGGCTCTGAAAGCTGAAAGCAATCTTAGCTGTGGTGAGTCTGTGACCTTGTCACTAATTTTATATTGCTCTACGAATATGTCTGACAAACTAGAAATCATACCCACACATATTCGGATACACATATATACATAAGCATCTGCTTGCAAGCCATGCTTATTCAGTGAAAGCTTTTGATCTTGTAAGTCAATTCTAGCACTCCTTATTTTATTCTTGCACTGATTCAATCACAAAGTAGACATTTCATTATCAGTTTTGCATGTCATATAACTAAGTCAAAGGTGTTGATAACATACTTTTCAACCACTGAGATAAGTCTTAATAAAGGAGAGAAGAAGGAACCTGATGCCGAGAAGTCACATGTGTGTGACTTTGGGGGATATTCTACCAGAAGCTTATGCCCAGTTCTTAGAACACTTAGTCTTAAAGCCACCTGTTGAGTTTTCCTAGCCTCTAATTTTGCTTCTGGCCTGAGGAACTCTCATACCTTCCTCTCTGTGTGGGCCCCCTACTTCTCCACGTGGTCTGTGGCATCCTGCAGTTGGTAAGAGTCACTAGGTGATGTCATTTGAGAGGTATTTCTTCTGGGTAAGGTAAGTGATGGCACTGTTTCAGGAGACTTTAGACCTGACAAGGGGTAATGGTGTTTCCCGGCATTCTCTCAGTATGAGATTAACTGCAGAGAACCCCCTGGGAAACCCAAGAAGCCTTTTCCACAGCAGTAAGGAAACTGAGATCAAGTTGGCAGGTGTCTGGTGTGGGGTGGTAAACAGTAAGGAGAGAGGGCCGCGATGCTCATGCTGGATTCCAGGTGGTTATTTTTACACCAGATCCATAGCCATTATAAAACTATTAAAATATCGACCAGTTAATATTTGCCTTTTTGTGGGACAATATTTGAGGACATGACAAGCTAAGGGTATAAAGTACAGTTAGCTAATCATATTTACAATTGCAAATAGTTAAAATCTACTTAAACTCAAAACTTTGTTTATACTGGGCACGGTATGAATAACTTTACACATAAGCCCTTATTTTTTACAGCATAGATCATATGATGTGATTTTATTATTAATCCTACTTGCAGATAAGACATCCGAGGCACAGAGATATTAATCCATTGTCACCCAAGCCAGAAATTGAACCCTGAAAGTTTGGCTTAGAGCTGTGCTCTCTCAACTAGAATTAATTAGGCCAGAAGATGAGTAGCACTGGAGTAGGAAAGCAACTTCTTGCCTGAATGAGAAGTACAAAGGTCTAGGAGCTTTTTCTTCTGCCAGTGTGCATTCTTTGGGAAAACACTGGCTTTCCTGCATGTTGACGTGTTTTTTCATTCTTCGTTTTTATTAAACGTACTCATCTATTATCTTACATACTTCATTTTTGTGTAATACTTGATCTTGCCTCTCAAATGTTGTTGCCCATATTTCTCCCACCACCAAAGCACTTGTGATCCATCACCACAGTCCCTTGTCCTGTTTTGACTTGTCTTGCCCCTCCCTCTCTTACTGCTGTTTTGACTTTGTCTTGCCCCTCCCTCTCTTACTGCTGCTGGATGCTTCAGATGCATGGAAGGCTTGCAAGTTTTGTCTTTTGCTTGGTTCTTTACTTTCTCAATGATCTACATATAAAGGACATGCTTCAACAGTTTATCTTTTTTCTGTCTGATTTATTTTGCTTATTAACACATTATTTATTTTCAACAAAATTTAATAAATTACTTCCCTGCAGTGCATCTCGGATACATTAATGTAGTAAATACTGGGGAATATAGGTTAGAAAAATCCCTAGGCATTGTAAGACACCTTCTAGACCTCTGGCCAGTCACCTAAATTTTTATAAATAAAGTTTAGTAAATAAAGTTTTATTGAAGCATAGCCCAGCCCATGAGTTTTGTATTATTTGTGACTGCTTCTCTATTTCTATGACAAACTGTGAGAGATATCCTAACATATGTCCTTTAAGAGAAAATATGCTAAGGCCTAACATCAGTCTGAAGAATCAAGAGGGTGCAATTTTCTGAAGCTTATTACCCTAAGGACAACACTGAAAAAGACCCGCAAAGGGCCCTGGGTCAGAGGTCACAGGCTGTGTGGGCGAATCTGTAGCCTTTAACATGGGTGGTGATGGCAACATCTACTTGTTTTCACTTATTTTCCCCAACAGTGCTTTTAAATGACTGATTGCCAGCATGAAAAAAACAAAACAAAACAAAACAAAACTAGATTTCATATAAAAATAAATTTTGAGATTGCCTGATAAGCAATAAACTTAATGCTGCTCTGGTCATTTCCACCTGGTCAACACTCAGAAGCCTTCCCCGTTTTCCGGCCCTTACAGTCTCAGATTCTTCCCTTTTCCTGAAGGCCTCTGACCCAGACAGGCGTTTACATTTATTAGGGAACTCCGATTGAGGGCCCTCCTTTCACATTAAAGAGGAAATTGAAGATTAGGAAAAATAAGTAGCCAAGGCTAAGAAATGGTCTGAGCTGCACTTGTGCCTTTGCTGGGGCTTATATTTGGGTGTTTTCATATATTTTTGTAAAAAAACTGTTTAAGACTGTGCCCCAAGCCTTGTGACTGCCGGAGTGCATCAAATACACACCCGTAGAGCTTAATCATTTTCAAAATGACTTTAGTCGTTTTCACAAATCTTTTCCAAAAAATGATTTCAATCAGAGGAACCCAGAGTCAGGACATTTGAATTCCTTTAACTTTTATCGTGGTCTTCTGGACATTCCACAGTGATGTTAAACAGCCCCACCGGGTCCACACAGATATCCTGGCCTGTGCTTCAGGAGTAATAACGGGAGAGGGAGTTTCCTGCTGCTTAATCATCAGCTCTGGGAGTTGAAGAACCCAAGTCATTTATTAACTGACAGGAAATACCTGTAACAGAGATTATATCTAAGCTTGTTAGCTAAGCAAAACTTAATAAATGAAGAAAAGTCTGCTCTATTAACATTTTAACCTTTCCTTTTTTTCCGGAACATTGTGACTGTTTGTGGTAATCGTAATTTCCAAAATACAGCGATCAGTACAGTAACCAATGGGGAAAACGGGCTTTCATGCCTAACATTCCCTGGCTGGCAATGTCTGTGGAATACGAGCTGTTATTTCAGAGTCAGCTTCTGGTAGACAGTGAGTAGAATCTCCAAGGCCTCTTGCTAAATAAATTTTAATGAAAATAAGCTACAACAAAACTGACTGCATTTAACATTAACACATTATGTCATTTGTTTCAAATATTAACTATCCCAGCTTCCCACAATCCATACATTGTTAATATTCCTGTAATTTCAGAGTTGGATCTTTTTGTTTCTCTGTACTTTTCTAAACCTAGAGGGGGAATATACCTAAATAAAGATGGCATTTTTTTCCCCCAATTTTTGTTTTTTAAGACAAGTCAAATCTTGCCCTTTTCAGGAAGGAATGTTTAATTTAGCAGTAATTTTTTCTTATTCTATTTTATTGCATCATTCATTTTCTTAAAGCAATTTAATTAAACATACTCAGAACTGTGACCTCCACGGGTAGACAGTTTCCCTGGTGTGGCCTTCAGTTATAAGTGCAAGCATTTGCCTATGCTGTGATTCAAGTTGAGATACTGGCTAATGTCCATCAGTTTTCACAAAGAACAGACAGTGCCTTCTATAGCAGTTTATTTATTTTACTGATGACTGCTCTTTCCGGAGGAGGGGTGTAGTGTAACTCAATGAATAGTCTTAAGTTCAAACAAATTGCATTTACTTAAGCATTTATCAAGCACTTTCATTTGGTAGCTACTGTGGATGTAGAGATAAGATGCAATTCATAAGTACCTAACTTTTGCTGTTATTCTTTTCTAGAAATTTTTGGATTTTTACTGACTTTTGTTTTCATCTCCAGAATTTTTCACTTAATTACTAACTCTTGGATTCCTTTCATTTTTCAGATACATTTCTGTCCTTCACAGTCAAAAAACTCTGATTCAGTTTTGGTGTCTTTCTTTCATCCCTAACAGATTGCCACATGTAGCACTTTCAGATTATTGAATTACTTTAAGTCAATAAAAATAAAAGTATTTTATTTTTACAAAGTAGTCTATATGAAGATGTCCAAGCTTTTTATGAGCATTAGTGATTTCTAGAAACCATTGTTATTCTACATATATTCACTTATGAAAACACTAAAATTCAATTTAGTATAATTATAGAAAAAGAATTGAAATGAATTATTATTACTATTTCCACTATTGCAACTCCCTGTGTGTGTTTAATACTGTGTTATTTGGATGATCATTAAGTAGGGTGTGAGCGAGTTGTTGGCGACACATTAATCTATTTGTTAACCACAACTTGTATAAATAGTGACTCCTTTCAGCAAAATTTTGGAAGAACAACAGGTAAAGAAGAAAGATTAATAGATTAATAGCTTTGTCAGCTTTCATCAACTGCCCATTTTCAGTGATTACATTTTTAAAGGAAAATTGGCTCAAACCTTTGTAGTGTAGATAATGCTCAGTAAATAGTCTCTAAACACCTTTGTGTAATCAGTGAACACACTCTGAAAATGATTCCTTAGTGTTACTATCCTAAAAACACTCCTGATACATTCTTTTTCAGAAGAAAGGACTGTCTTTTCTTCCTTAGCAATCTCCTGGTTTGGAAATGTGTCTGCCTGGGAAAAGTGATGGCCTAAGTGACTCTTCTCTGCAGATGTTGAAACCAGAACTGGGTAGAAATAAAAGTTTATGTACAATTTTTTATGTTTCATATATCTGTTAATATAGTTTGGTATATTTGTAAAGTAAGGATTCATTTATTAATATAGCATCCTAATTACATTTATTAATTTCACATTTTCACTGAAATCATCTTCAAATTTAATTTCTGTTCCTATATTGAATTTTCATGAATGAATATTTATTATTTATAAAGCAATGTCAATTTGCTATACTAAAAGTGCTCACAAAGGAACACTGAAAATTTAAATATCAAGAAGTAAATGTTTCCCATGAAAAGGGTGTTGCCTGTTGAAATTTGTTACCATGCA